TGCTCAAGTGGTTGAATAGGTACCATTTAATCAGAATCTGTGAAAATAATGTAAGATTTTTTTTGACAGGACAGTGAGAAATGAAAGACGGATTGGTGATCCTCTGGCATATGGAAAATTGTCATCTAACATTTCACCAAAGGCTTCTTTTGTCTAGTTATAAGGCAGTGTAAAACACATGCTTGGAACAGTCTCTTTGAGCAGCTGTGTGCTTCTCAATCCAGTACCTTTGTGGTTYGGACACTTGCATGAGGAAAAAGAAAGGTAACCTTAATTTGCTTCAGGCAAAGGCASTGAATTAAACTTGATTCTTCTGTTTTTGTGGAAATGTTCCAACACATTGAACAAGAAAGGGAGATAGGAAGATGGTGAAAGAGTGACCATTGCGCTCGCAAGGAAGCCTGGACCTTGATGTATTTTGGAAGCAGCTTTGGCASCATTCTGCAGAAAAAGGTCAAAGCTAATCTAACTGGAAGGAGGCATGTCTGTTTGACCTAACACTATTTGTCTCTGTCCTGAAAAGGGCACTTTTATCCTCTCTCTTCAGCAGTGATCATTGTTAACAGGATTTGCACACAGAGAATTGCATTTTGAGATGTCCATTTCTTCAAGAACAAAGARGTTTCATCAATAAATGTGATTTGGTTTTGACTACTAGAACTGAAAAAAATATGCAGACTTCCAAAAACAAGGAAAGCTTCMTGTAAAAGATGAAATTCATAAGTATTTATTGCTAGCTGCTTATGTTATTCAAAAGCACTACAGATTTTGAGAAYTGGCAGTGTAATAACATCCCTTTAGAACAGTCTTTTTATGTTATTTTGGGGGCTGGAGTATTCGTTAGAGCAGCGTGAGGGTGACAGCTAACACAACTAAATTAGGCCTAGCAGTCATTATCACTCATTTCAGCATCTCCCTGGCTATTCGGTTGATTCAGACAAGCTTTTAAAAAGACTGCCAATGCTTAATAATTTCTACAAAAGCACCTTGCGTACTTTGATATTTCAATATCAACAGTCTCTTTCGTCTTTTGCARGTTAAAGATGCTTCAGATGTAATGTTTCTACCTCAGTCATGATCTGGAGTTTGTTTAAGGAAGGTCTTTCATAAATTCATTGTCTGAACTGCTAAATTTTTAGGAGAATAAAAATAATTAAATCTTTCTATCCTGAGATTTTTGGCTTTTAAATGTACCTCTTCTTAGACAAAGAACTTTTATTGTCACKTTTTTGTCTCATTTTTTCACAAAGTCAAAGCACAAAATTGTGCTCTTTCAAAATATTATTTTTTAATTTCCTGGACTAAGTTTCTTAAGACATAGATTATGCCTTTTCCCCTTAAGTCATCATAATTATGCAGTCTATCTGAGAAATACAATCTACATGATGTCTGCTACCAAATWACCCTTAGTTTTCAATTGCAGTGAGTAGGGGTGAGTCATACTTAATAGCACTAAAAATTATGTAGCAGGGAATGCGACCATGCAGCAGTGTTCTATGATCTGTCCAGATTTGGCATTTAATAAGTGCACCTATCTATATGTTTCACACAAAGTGCATGCCAGGATAGAATTGGGTAAACAGCTAGTTTAATACCATGAAAACATAGTTTAATGCATCAWAGCAAAGGAAAGGCCATCTGAGTAATAAAAAGTGCAAATGAAGACACTGTAAGAGAAAGGCAAAGAATGGAAATCAGCAGGAAGGAAAAACCACTGCCACAGCCCACCTGCTGGAGGCCTCCATTCTGCACATCACCCTTTCTCCTTGCCCTGCATGTGCTGGCACTTCCCAATGTCGGGGGTGATGAAGGAGTCATGGGCAGGTATAGATACAAAAGGAAGAGATACGGTGCCACACTGGGATTGTGATGCTTGGAGATGTAGAGTGGTTTGTAGAGAAGGTAAAATTTGCATCAGTGGGGAAAGAAATTGGAGTTTTATATGATTTGTTTTCATAGTGTTGTGGCCATAAGATACTTGTGTGTAATATGAATGGTTTTCAATATCACTGGTTGATTCTATTTTACTTATGCTCTACTTTCCAAGTAAATTGCATAGTTTGTGCTAAATTGCTTAAATTGTCCAAATGTAAAACAGAAAAGGGTGAATATAGTTATTGCAACTATAGAAGGATCCATTTTCTTTTTCAGTCTACTGTAATGCTGGGAAGTTTAGTTCATGTATACAGGAACTATCCAAAGGATATATTCCATCCTCAGTGGAAGCTCTGAATAGTATGCATGATATTGTAAATAATGCCCAGGGCTAAAAATAATAATGATGAAAAGTAAATCAGTGAATAATTGTTCCAATTTRTGTTCCATTTCCTAACTTTAAAATGTCTGATGTTCCAAGACAGAAATCTTCCTTTAATGTGTATGTAAGACTCCTAGGACAATACATAGAGAGGGATGGGAAGAGAGCTGCTATTTCAAGCATAAAATCTGCCTGGAACATGGCACTCCATCTTTTTTGGGCTTTCACAGACCACATATATTCAAATAGCATCCAGAGATTCTGCAGTTTATCCCACTGATCAGCTCAGCTCCTCTGCTCTTTTGCTTCCTGGACAATACATCTTGACGCCAGGTGTAGCCACACCTTCCTTTTTTTTGGTTTACCTGTCTCTTCTGATCTGCAACATTTAACCTCTGACTCTATAACAGTGTCAAAATCCACCTTTTTCTACTCAATACAATAGGACACTTCAATAGCGATACAATTAATCCTTTTTTGTTCACCTGTTGCCTTAGGTCTCTCCAAAATTCCTGAGCATGATTTAATTTTCTCTTCTGCCTCTTCAGTCAAATAGATGCTTGGCCTAGCTTGCGACTTTCATGGCACCCTGACACAAAACAAATGATGCACTGAAAAGTGCTTGCAGGGTACATCTGTATCTTCAGTATCTTATGTATGAATTTAAAACTTCTTTTATGAACTTAGAACTACTATGCCCCACAAAGAGTGCTTYGCATTTGCATATTTATTTAAGTTACAGCTGGATTTGAAGAGCGGGTTGTTCTAAGAACAGGGACATGGTTTCAGAGGAAAACACTGCTTTTCCATTTCCTGCTGGGAATCCTGGTCTCACCATTCATTCTTCAGTTCTAACAAACAAATTGTTTGTTATCTCTGTGCTGTTGTGCCAGAACTATTCAACTAAACCATGGCGTGCCAAGCAAGAATGGGCTGTGTGGTATCGTGCAACACTGCGTGATCTGTTTTGCAGAACATACCTATGGCATAGCAGAGCCAAATGATATGCTGTACTTCATGGTAACGCCTGAGATTTGTGTGACAAAACCTCTCTAACCGAGAAAAAAAAAAAAAAAAAAAAAGAAGCTGACAGAGACTGCATGCCCAAAGTCTATGCCTTATGCTCAGCAGCCCAGGGTAGTGACTACCACTACAGATACACACAAGAGTGCGTAAAAGAGTGGGTAGGATAAGGATAACTGACCAATRTCACCTCATGAATCTGCAGCCACAAAAGCAAATAAGGTGTGCAGAGTGATTTGAGTGGGAACTCCCTCTCTGGCTAGTCAGATACATTCAGCCCTGGATGAGGCTGTTCCTGTTTACCTCATGAGCTTGTCCACTCCGAAAATAAAATGTACAAGCAAGAAAACTTTGTCTCTTGATGGCTGAACAACATTTCATCAACCCCTTGAGGGCTTCATGACACACTTTAGGTATAAAAATTTCAATGATAGACAAGAGATCATGCAACAGAAAGAATACTTCTGTTAAATTAATTCAATTCTGTTTTACTAAAACACCAAGAAACTGATGACTCTTAGTAGGTTTGCAATTGTGTGGCAGAAATGTAATAAAAATGTATAAAATAATAAATTTAAGACTTTCAGTTAACTCATATTTTTAGGCTAAAGCTTRTATTCCAAATTAATTAATAGCTATTTTCCCTAAAGTGTGGAGAACATTTCACAAAACTTTTTATTGTCAAGAGGTACTTGTTGGCTGTCTGTTTAATCCTGATGAGTTAATAATCAGAAGCTGTAAAAAACKGATAATTTCCTTTGAGGGCATTCCATACCATTTAGGCAGAGGAATACCTTATAGTTTCCATTTACCGGATGCGATTTTTTTGAGGTCAGGGGGATTATTTGTGCTTTGCTGGATCACATATTYAGTCTTAAACTATGTTTTGGTGAATAAGGAATTGTTGTTTTGACAGTTGTATTATCTTTGTTACAACTGTGGTATAACACAATTTTTATCAGCAGACAGACATAAACAAAAGTACGTGCAGGGAAATAAATAAAAAATTTAAAATATCCGTTATARTTTAACTACCTCAAAAGAATTCTTGAGTCTTGAATCTGACTTCAACAAGGAAGTGAATTAGTGTCAAGAAAGACACTAATTCTTCACAGAGCAATGAAAATCTGTCTCCTTTGGTCTATTGACTTGAATGTTCCTTTTGCATTTTCAGTTTCAGACAGTATTTTAACAACCCACATTTTTAAGTCGTTGGGGTTGAGATATCAGTGAGCACAGACCCGCAGTGTGTAAAACCAAGACTGCTGGTGAAACTTTATGTCATCGTGCAGGTTCTTGGTCTTCCATGARCGTGAGGAGTACTTTTATCGTGTGGGATAAAAGATCAACAGATTTAACAGATTTAACAGCGTACAATGCCCGCGGACTACAGGAGTCACATCTGAGTACCGCTGGGAGGTGAGAGGTGTTTTTTACCCTAGGGTGCTGTATAGTTACCTGCGCCGTTTGCAGCATGCTGGCCCCGAGGGGAGCTCCGGGCCCCTGCAGCTCCGTGGGAAGCGGCAGCCCTGCAGCCCTGGCTCGGCACCGCCCTGCTCTGTGCCTGGGGCGCCGCCAGCCCGGCCCGGCACCTGCCCCGGCCAGGAGCCGCCACCTGCGTTCCGCCACCTGCGTTCCGCCTCCCGGCCGTGCCCGGCCCCGCGGGGCGCCGGGGCGGAGCAGGACCCGTCCCGCCCYGCTGAGCCGTAGGTCGGGCGGCCGTCCCCCCGATCCCATCCCATCCCGTCCCGTCCCGTCCGCGGTCGGAGTGTCTGCGCCCCGGCGCTGGCCGATGGATCCCGAGGCGGCGGGGGACGAGCTGTCCCGCTTGCGCGCCCTCTTCCTGGCGTGCGACGCCAACGGCTCGGGCCGCATCGAGCGGGAGGACTTCGCGGCTCTGTGCGCCGAGCTGCGGGTGCGGCCGGCCGAGGCCGAGGCCATCTTCCAGCGCCTCGACAGCGACCGCGACGGGACCATCACCTTCCCGGAGTTCGCCCGTGGCTTCCGCGGTGCCACACGGCGGCAGCCCGGAGGCGGCGAGCCGGGGGCCGACGACGGGGAGGAGGAGGCGGAGACGGCGACGGCGTGGGTCGCCGCGGGGCTGGAACAACCCTGGAAGGACTTCGAAGTGCGGCTCGGGGACGAGGCGAAGTACATTCCCAGGTAAGGTCCGGGCCTGCCCGACCCCGGCGATGGGAACGAGTGCACGGCCCCGGAGTTGGCGGGGCTGAGCCTGCCCTTGGGCACCCCGGGCTCGCCGCTGCCGAACCGGCCCTGCCGTCCTCGGGACGGGAACGGCCCTGGTGGCGGAGCTGCCGCCGGCGCTGATGCAATCCCAGCTGAGGAACGGCCGTGTAGCCTGATCCCTCGCCCGCTGCTAGCCTGATCCCTCACCCCCTGAGCCCGCAGGTGTAGAGGGCCCTCCACACACCTGCTTGGCGGCTGGGGCGGTTTCCAGCGCTGTTCTTCCTTCCAGCGTGCAGCCGCTCTCCTGGCTTCCCCTGCGCTGCTCTGCCAGCGACCCACGTGGGGAAAGTCAGGCCGGTAAAACGCACGGGATGCAAAGTTCTGCCGGCTTCGCGGCAACTTTCTCTCCGCGCTATTCTTGACCAGCCCCCAGCATCTTTCTTTCACCCCGTCAGCCTTTAACACGTTAACGATGTTGGTAAACACGGCCCTCGGTCTGATGAGCTCGTTGCAATTTGTGAGAGTCTGTCCTCGGTCTCCGTGAAATTAAGACAACTGATGGTAGCTTGGTTGGAAGTGAAACTCGTTTACCACGATCTGTGAGTAGGGGGCTGGTTCCAGAGTATAGAGGCAGATTTTTGTGACTTGCAATAATCTGCCTGAAAGCTGAGGGGCTCAAAATTAGTATGAAAATGTTGGCCATAAAAGGTACAGGGTGATTTTCCTTCATTTTTAAAGTTGTAATATACGATGGAAAACAAATAATATGAGTTTCAGGATTTTGCAGATAGTCAAGAGAGTTAAAAAAAAAATCATATACATGAATATATCTCTATRTTGTCTCTACACAGTGCTCCTTAAATTCCTACCTATACAAATATTTTGGTTCCAGCCACATTAAAAAATGTGTTTGGATTATGAGATGAAAAGTTTCTTCAAAGAAATTTTCAGTCACTTRACCTACTAGTGCAAATCTGGACTCAGTTGTTCTTTTTGGAGTAATAGTGGTTAGTTTTATTGGACTGTTCCATTTCAGACAGGTCAGTAACTTCATACCGGTCCGTCTTAATTTGTTCATGGTGCTTTTCTTGTTACATGCTTGCTTTCTACAGAAAGGAACAAGAACAAAAGACTGAAAACTTGCGGAAACAGTTTACCTGAAATCAGAAACTCAGTAGGAGCTGAAAAAAATCTGACAGGTGAACAGTGGTAACTTGTGGAAACATCTGTCTCCTCTTGGTAATAGTTCTGTGTCAGTATCTTGGCTACTGTTTGCAGWAGCAGTTTCAGTATAGTCTTACTGATTGTGTTAAATGATAATAGTAAGGAAGGGGTGTAGCTTTAATTGGCTCCACTATGCAGATACATCTGGTAGTTTTGCTACATTTATCATGACACAATGTAATTAGTATTACAATTATTTTAGATGAAAACTGCAAACAACTAAATTTTGATGGTTAAATACTATCAGGTGGGCAGTRATTTGATGTAAATGTTTCCTATTCAGGTTCAACTTTGAACATTCTTCATAGCTGGCTGTATTTATTAGATGTGTGTCAGTGTCAGCTGAAGAACAGTGTGCCCTTTGTTTTTTCTCTCTTCTGTCCTGAAGTGCTAGAAGCAGCTCTGTTTTACAGCTCATTTTTTTCCATTTGTAGCCCACATATATTTTTTGTTGAAACCTATGTGAAAGTTTTTTTTTTTTTTTTTTTTTTTTTTTTTAATGTGAGTAGTCCACTAAAATTAGGACCATTTGTGTGAGTAATGAATAATGAGTGAAATTGTTTGAGGAATCTTTGGCAGTAGAATATAACAAAAGCAAGTGAAGTACAAGATGGACTTCAAAAAAGTTATTTATATTTTTCTTTAAATTATTTAGTTTGTTTTAGTTTTTTGTCACTTCAACTTTTTATTCAGGGGAAGGCAGTACTTTCAAAACTAGATCTGTCTTGAAACACACCTGGATCATCAGTACTGTAAAAAAGTTGGTTTTCCTGATATTGTGTTTTACTACTCTTCATGCATTTGTTGTAACATTGACATTGAAATCTATGAGAATTATAATTGCGAAGGAGAAAGTCTTCAAAACAAGATGAGTGCAATTGGTAGTCCCTATTTTTTAATATTTAATTTTTAATATCTCAGTTTATTCTCTTGATCATTTTGGGGTTCAGTTCCTCAAATGCTCTGTCTTGTGGCCACAAACTAGCAAGACACTGGCCCATGTGCTTTGATGCTATTGGGGTTTATACAGAGAGAAACAAGGCATAGCAAATGGAAGTAATTAGATAAAACCACGATTGAAATTGGGAGAAAATCCCACAGTAAACACCTGTGGTCTCTGTCACTCTTCACCTTGACTGAATACCTGTGGAAATCAAAGGGAAGATTGTCACATGATATGCATGTGATAGAGGTTCTGCCTCTGTTTCAGAAACTGGTTCACTTTCTGTGACTGAACTTTTAAAAGCATAAATAATCCTCCATAATGAGGTGTGAAATGCAGTAACAGATGTATAYACTGACCCAGCCCTTAGCTCAGTAGCAGGCATTTGATGCAAGATTATTTACTGCCAAGTACTAAAATAAGYGTATATTACAATAAGCATATTTTGAATTTAATTACTTTTTTAAAAAGTTAATTTTTTTATGGGGTGGATCATACCTCTTTGCAATTTAGTATATCAGTTGCACAGAGCTTTTAGATTATACTTTAAAACATTCAAGTTTGTGCTGAAGCTGTGATTGTATTGTTTGCAGTTAAACAGGCAGAGTCACATTAAAGTTTCTTTACAGCCTTGCTCCTTTCCTCCTCACCTGAACAAATTGTTTGAACTAATTTAGTTAGATTTCTTGGTAAGTCATATATTGTTTGCCATAGCCTTTACTTGTGCTTGGTAGGCAATTTGCCTCTAGGAAAAAAAAGTGGAAAGTGTTTCCAGATTGATAACCTAACATGTGAAGTCAGACTTTACTGAATTGTACAGAGGGTTGTTGTTTTGGTTTTATTTTGTTTTGTCGTTGCATTCATTTAATTTAAAATGCATCTGTCATTCTGCGTTTTTATGTTCAATTAGGAAAATGAGTAATTAAACATAAAATCACACAATGCATTTAGTTTATATGTATATATGGTGAATTAACAGCTGGAGATCTGTTTTATTGAAAAAAAAAAGCTCAGCCGTATGTGTTAGTTTGTTCCTTTATGAAGTGTTAGCCATAGTATAGGAATGGACAAAAAAACCCTTTGGTGCTTGAGGCAGTGAGTGCTTCAGTGCACTGCCCACACTRAACGGGTTTAGCCCTTGACTGTGTTACTGAAAGTTGCTTTCACAACAATTCTTGGTCACAACAATTCTTTGTTGTGACCAATCTCAGTTTAAATTTCAATGGCACAATTGAAAGTTTCCTTTCATACTCCTAATAGATAAACAGTTCCTTTTAAGCATGTGGAAATATCTCCTAGTGGCAGGGTTTTTCCCTTCCTCAGCTTGAGCAAAAATAATCTAACATCCTCTGACTCTTCKAGAGAAAATCTGTACTTACGAATGCTACGATACTTATTTCTCTCTCTAAATTAGAAGCAAAAAACTTCCAGGAAAACAGTAATATCAAAGCCTTCAGTGAGAAAGAACAAAGACTTGGGACTATCAAAAAAAGATTAAGCCCTAYCAGGCAACTTTTGTGTGGTATTTGGCAAACTGGATAATCATATTGGAAACTGAACTAAATTAGTTAAGAGCATGAATGGGGGATGAATCTGAAGCAGAAAGTTTGTATCCCTATTTCCAGTTAAATTCTGCTGCCTCTAAGAGTTGTCATACTCCATTGCTTTGTTTTTTAGTCTTGCAGTCTGTTTTGTTCATGTGCCTTGTACTTTCAGCCAAGCTGACTTTTCATCAGACTCTGATTTCAGCACTGCCTGACTGTGAGATTTTATGCATCATACAATTCCAAAGTCTCCTAATGTGATTATGATATCAGTGTGCCCCCAGTCATATCATCTGGAGCTATATAGAAAATGTGGATCTGGGGAATGTGATAAAATGAGAAAAACATTCTGCTGTTAACATGAGCTACTTAAACTGTGAAGACAGGCGATGCTCATGCGGATATATTGCTGTACTGCAGCAAAGAAGAGGAGCTCTGCTACACAAAAAGCCTGTCCAAAACCTGTCATGCTCTTGCTGTCATGAACCAGGATGGATTTTTGCCAAAGTCAATACAGGGCTCACTATTACCTTTTGTCAGCAATTTGTGTTTACTTCCATGGCATGATGAGCCATGATGTCAGAACTGGAGAGGTTTCCTTGGAAGTTGAAGCATKTTTCCTGGGGAGGAAATAAAGGCAAATCCCGAGGAAAAACAAATGCCGGGTCCTTTTTTGTTACAGGACTGGAGAGGGAATCTCTTCTGTAAGAATATTGTCTTTTAATACATCTCATTGCAGGGGTTTGAGAGATTTGCTCTGCTGAAAATGTGATGAATGCCTTTCTGTGCACTAGAAGACTTTTTGAGCTACTTTTAGTTTTTCTGCTCATCTGATTTTTGCTTTAGTCAAAACAGCATCTGTGCTAACTAACTTAAGCACTGTAGCATTCATTTTCGTCATATTTTATCATCATGTGATCCTTTGCCATAATGCCTTTGAGGCATTCTTGTTTTCCACAGATTTCATCTTTTCCTGCCTGTCCCACAGTCTTTTCCACTGCTGCTCCACTGTCTCTAAATTGCACCTCTAAGAGAGCAGCATTCATGCTTTGGAAACATTAAAAGCTTTTCTCTGGGGATCAGACCTTGGCTGGGCTGTCTCATCTTGGGAGTTACAGATTTGATCATCTTCTTTTAATGCAGCCTGTTTTTAAAGGGGGTAAAGAAAAGTTAGTATTGAAAAAAATCCATAGTGCTTCAAGATGACAAATACTTTGAATATTACAATGTCTTAAAATTTGTGTTATCTGTTTTTCCTCGAGGCA